AAATGTGCTTTCTGGGCAAATCTTTCAGGAAGAATCTCATCTGTGAAACAAGGTGTAGCAGTAGAATGTAGCTCCTTGGGTCTTTATAGAACTCAGTGAGTTCGTACATGTAAAAGGCATAGAACTGACCTACATACTTGATACATCTGAGCAATTCCACAGAAGTAGTTAAATTTGTCTTTCTGAAGTTCTGCTTCCAGCAGCCTTCAGGATTTGAAGGTAGCAATTGTGTCCTTCAGGACAGTGACTTTGCTGAGATAAATCCTCTGGCCCTGTTAATCACCCCTGGGTCACCACTCTGCTGATCCCTCCTTCCTCTGGGCTGATAGTCTTCCTCTTGCGTAAAATGACTTTCATGAGGGTCTTATGTTTGAGGTGGGGGTGCTGGCTGGTGGCTCTGTGATGTGTTCACACTCAGCACCATCCTGGGTAGCTCGTTCCAGCTCGTGGGGGTTCCAGCCGTGGGGGTTCCAGCCGTGGGGGTTCCTCCTGAGTAAGGCATGCTCCTGTCTTCTCGCAGTTGAAGACAGGCCATCTTAAAAGTGGAAGCATCTGGCTTAAGGTAGAGCCTGCAGATTCTGCTTTGTCATCATACTTGTATTTTGCCAGCTTCCAGCTGTGGGCTCCAACCCAAGGGGGCTTTCCTTGTTCTCACCTTCATGGTGAGTTTCTCAAGGAGTTTGCTCATGCTTGGATAGAACTGTAAAAAGTGAGGTAGTTCCAGCACGAATGGGAGGCCCCAGGCCCCGGCTTAAGGTTGAGGGCTGGGTGTGTGAGGTGAAATCTAGTAAGGACAGCTGTAAAGTCTTTGAGGAGAATGCCAAGGAGCAGTTTTGGAGAGGTGAAGCTTTCAGAGGGGCGCTGGGGAGCACCAGCCATGATGAGAGGTGGTCAGCAGAAGGACAAAATCACCACTGAGTAGAATACCAGAATTTGAACTGTAAACATACCCAGAAAGATTTCCAGCCACCAGCTTGTTAAAAAGAGGCTGAAAGCACTTGTGTTGCTGTCTTGAGGTCCCTTTTGCTTTGATTTTGGAGGCTGGCACATAAGCAGGTGTTGTGTGAAGCCTAGTGCCTCCAACCCCACTGCTCCCATTCCCGCTGCACCCCCACCCCCTCCCCCAGTCCTCCCCCAGGGCTGTGGGCTGGTGGGCTCTGTCCTCGGGAAGTTTGTACCCTCAGATTAGCTCAGGAGGGCATGTCCTGGGTTAGGGGATAGGCGCCTGGTACTGAGCCATTGGAGGTCAAAGGAAATGATCAGAGAAACTTACAAAAAATTTCAGGGCCTTCCTAGTCCAAAAACAATACTTGAAAGAAAAAGGTTTGCGGGAACTGCTCTGGATGTCGGAGATTTGCCCATGCAGGCCCTGTCTGCCAGTTTTTAAAGGGTTCCGTTTCAGCAGCCTTCGTTTCAGTATGGGGCCCTTTGTTTCCTGCTAACCTTGACACCTTCTGCAAAGTTCTGCTTTGTGAGGAAAGTGTCAGGCTCCTCCCTGGCCAGTTGGCCCTGGGGCAAACGCTATGTCCTGTGTCCTGGACTGGGTGGGCTCTCAGGGTGGAGGTGGCTCCCCTTAACCTCCGCCTGGTGAACTTGGGGCATTTCTGTAGTTTTCAAGCCCTTGACCTGGGATAAAGTTTGTACCCATTACTACAGGGGTGGCAATATCTGCTCTCCTGGGCAGCAGGATGATTTTGCCAGAATTCCAGTCCTAAGGCACCTGTGGTGGGTGGGAAATGTTGGACATGACCTCACTTAGTGACGTGAGGTAGTTGCAGGAACCATAGAGGGGAGACTTCCAGTTGCCAAAGGGTAGCTGGGAGGACTTCCTGGGAGAGGGGGCACTTGAGTGGCTGTCAAGGAAGCTGGGGGCCTTTGGAAAGCGACCTTTTGGCCCCTTTAAATCACTTTGACCAGGAATAGGAAGCTCATTTTCTAAGTTATTTATAGCATATTTTAAGGATTTCTCCTGAAGAAAACTGGAAGATGAGGACATAGAAATTCTTGGCAGCACAGCTGTTGTCTGACTTCCGTCACCCCCACAGCCCTCGTACCTGTCATGGCTGCTCTGCTCAAACCCTTGGCCCCATCTAAGCCACTTCTCTCTTGCTTCCTTTTTCCCCTCTGAGGTTTTCCTTAATGTTTTTCTTCCCTGAGAGTTGGTGTTGCTTGTCCTTCCCATCTGTCTTGTCACCCTGGGCACTTTTTGTGGGACCTTTGTACAAGTGAGGTCATTGTTCTCAAGTCACTAATGCCCCTTTATATTGCGATGTCATCCCATAGGCATGAAGGCCAGCGATGTAGAGGTCAGGGGGTCTCTGTGGGCGGCCTGGAGGGGAAAAGGTTAAGTTGCAGCTTAGGTGAACCATCCTGGAGCAGCTGTTTGCAGGGAGAGCAGAGGAGTGCGATGCACGCCCACTTTCTGTCTGGCCCCCCTGGGGAGCCCACAAAAGCAACAGTGAGGTAGCCAGACCTTCAAGTAGGTGGGTTGGGGGTCTCTGTCAGTGAGAAGAGCGTGGATGTTCCACCTGGTTGAGCTAGGTAGGTTGATTTCTTCAGCTCTGAAGTGTTTGCTGTTACCAGCTGGGGTTCCACTAACCAAGTTCTGTTATAAAAATACTTAGTGAATTGCTGGGAGTAAATGAAGGAGGAGGTTTGACCCATGGGAGGGGACTAGACCTTTGCAGTTCATGCTTTTGATGCCTGTAACTGCTTTGGGGGAATTCTTGCTTGTATTTCTCCAGTCATGGCATCTGCTGTCAGAATGCCTCTTAAATATATCCCTATCTTCCTGGTAAATGGAAATTGAAACTTAATTGGTGGAATTTTAAATAATCATCCAACATCTGGCAGGTCATTTATGGCTTTGACCAGATGTGTTTTATTAACTAGCATCGCCTTTATTATTGGGAAGCTAACTATCAATTTATTAGGAAATATGCCACTTTTAAAACCAAAAAGTATTCACAGAGCACCTTGGCCCCTCTCGGGTTACTACATCCTTGGATTAAATGTGGGGCTCTGGGCCTAGGCGTCCCCTCTTGGTTTAGTTCTTGTCTGGTTCCAAGAGCAGCTCCCCCACGATACTAAATCTCCTCTTGACCCGTAGGGCCAGACCTGTCATCACAGTAGATGTCTCCATCTTCCTCCCGGGCTCCATCAACATCACGGCGCCACAGTGTCACGATGGCCTGCAGCCTGTGAACTGTCTGAACGTCACCGTCTGCTTCAGCTTCCGTGGCAAGCACGTTCCAGGAGAAATCGGTAATGACCCCAGGGCAGCCAGTTCTGTGTCCACAGCTGAGTGTCCTGCCGTTTTTGCAGGCAGCAGACCACATGCCAGGGCCCCAGCCCACTTAGCTTTCTGCTCACCACTGACTGTCTCCCCCAATTACTTCCACCTTGGTTCTACACAGATTGTATTTTACTCCAAGCATCCTTTCTCCAAAAGTGTGTGGAGGAGACCAAAACCTCATAGGGCCACAGGTGTGACAGGTTTGTGGGCCTTGTGGAAATGCCATGACAGGAGCCTGATCCTTATAGAACATTCTGTGTAATTAGAAGAGAAAAAGTGCAGTGTGTGTGTGTGTTGGGGTTGGGGGAGGGAGGGAGGTGGGCTTCAGAGGCTCCCCGTTGAGCTCGCAGCACCAACCAGATATCGGGGCTTATGCCTCCACTGTGGGCACAGAGGTGGAGGCGGGCTGGTGGGCTTGGGAGGCAGAGTTTTATAAAGGCTTAAGATTCCAAAAAGGGGGAGCTGCTTTATCAGCTTCCGGTGATTGAAAGAGGCAGGTGTTGCCCCAGCCAGTGGCAGCCGTCCCTGCCTTTTCTATGAGTGGGGAAGGTCAACTAGCTAGCCCAGCTCCACAGATGGGGTCAGGCCTTGGACAGGATAGGGTCAGAGTGGATTAGAATTCAGGGCACGTGGTCACCTGCAGGAAATGAATCTGGACCAGTTATATAGACATAGGTGCTTTGTTTTCGCCTGCAAGGATGATTTAATATTACAAAATAGAGTTCCAGGAAGGAAAAACAAAATACCATGAGCAACCACTAATAAAGACCTGGACTCAGTGACTCTCAGACGGTGTTAATGTCAGCACCATCCTGCCCACAGTGCAGGATCGAGAGCAGCACCAGCAACCCCACATTAGGAATGTGGAGTCTTAGGTCCAACCTGGACCTCTGACTCAGATCCTCGCAGAAGCGCTGCTCTGGAGCACATGTGTGTACACCCTCACACGAGACACACTTTCAAATGCGCTAGTTCATGCTTCAGTTGTAGCTTGAGTGCCCTGATTATTTACCAACACGCCAGTCCTTCTGGGTGGTCTCACTGACACTTTATCTTGATCTCCAGGTGCACTGAGTAAGTTCAGCAATGAAACTTGTACTTCTGTACATCTCCTCCCCATGCAGAGTTGGAGCATTCCTAGTTAGTATTTGGTACTTTATTTCTTGGCTCTGGGAATGCTGTTACCACCAATTTACATGGAAAAGCTGTGTAAGTCTTTTACCAGACTTAAAAGATAACCCACCAAATCAAGCCAAACAAGAATGGATGCTTGGAGTCAAGTATGATTTGTTCTGGAGCCAGAGGTGGTGTCACGTTGGAGAAACAACGGTGAGCAGAAGAGAGAAGCCACCTTCATAGGCAAAGGCATCCGGTCAGACCAGCGGGCTGCACAGTGATGCCATTCAGTTGATGTTTTAGTCTCTGGGGCTTCTTTTCTCTCCCTTGGGACCTGGTGGGGCTCTAGCATCTGGAAAGAGAAGGGACACCATTCACTTCCTCATTTGCTGCTTTGATGATGGGAACCACAACCCTCACTTGGTCCCAGTTTTCAGGGACAGCTGATTAGGGAAACCTCTAAAGAGGCTGCTGTGAGGTTCTCTTTGTGGGTGACTCTGTCTTGGGCCCTCTAACAGGTGAAGTCTGGTAGGAAAACAGAAGCCAAAGCAATTATCTTAATAGGAAGCTGTTAACCCTGGGCACTGGCCAAGCAGATCATGGAGGACCCAGTAGTCACTGCAAGAGAGCTGCCAGAACTTCTAGAAGCTGCCAGCACTTCCAGGACCAGGGTATCTCAAGGTGTGGCTTGATCAGCTGTAGCAGGAACAGGCAGATCTTGTTAGAGATGCAAATTCTAACAACCAGATACGCTGAGGGTGGGGCCCAGCAACCTGTTTTTGCTTTTTTTTTTTAAAATTTATTTATGCATTCAGAACTGGGGTACAAGCCAGAGGTGCAGGGGTGGTGAGAGGATTCACCAGAGACAGAGTGTGGAGCAGAACAGGCAGGTAGACGAAGTGCACTGCCAGGGGAGCAGCAGGCAGGTCAGGAGAGGTCTGCTGTACCATGTGGGTCAGCTCCTGGGTGGGATCGAACTCGCTGAGGCAGCTGCGCTAGCTTGCAGTGCTGCGTCCTAACCCATTGTGCCACCAGGGAGGGCACAACCTGGGTTTTACCAAGATTCTGGGTGGCTTAGAGTTGAGAACCACTGGTCATTTAGGGAGAACCACTTCCTTGAGACTACAGAACCTGTAAGTGTGCACAAGGGACCCTGCAGAGCTGGGACCTGGAGGAGGACCTGGTTGGTGCTGCTGGTGTCTTTGAGGGGTGTCCTGAGCCCAACTCTGGGGGTACGGGGGACTTGAAACTAGAATTGTCTGCTGTTGGAATCAGCTGCTGAGGAAAACTGTCGCTGGGTTTGGCTGACAAGACTAGGAAGCTGGCAGGATGGGGCAGGCCCTTCTCTCTCCTCCAGGCTTGTGGCCTCCCTCGACCTCTCCCGCTCTGCAGAGCCTCACAGGGAGTCACTGGCGAAGCAGAGGTGAGGCTGGTAGTGTCCAGCCCCAGCATCGCAGGGCCAGGGGAGCTGGAGCTGAGAGACGGCAGCTTCATAAACCAGAATCGCAAGTGTTCAGTCACTGAGCAGAGTTGGGTCGTGCACTCTAGGGTGAGGTGCCTGCACTCTAGGGTGAGGGAGCAGATGATCAGACTCCGGGCTCCCACGCTTCCTTTGCTGGCTGAGCCTGAGCCCCTTTGAGTGCAGGCCCTGTGCTCAATGTCGGGAGCAGTCTCCCCACATTGACCTTGAAGAGCAGCTTGTCTCCCTTCACCACAGAGTTGAGGATAAGAGTTCTGCTCCTCCCAGGCCTTACAAATGACTGCATTCTTGGCCTGCGGCTCCTGGAGCTTCATGCCTGTCACAGGAAAGGGTGGCAAATGTCTGTTCGAAGGGACCCTGCTTTTTACCCATAGATCGGGACTTACTCCCTTGCTGGTGGGGCTGAAACTTAAATGTGTTCGTCAGTCTCGAAGCTGGGAATGGAGCTGGTGATTCTAGACTCTCAGCAGGTGCTAAATGAAAGTTGGGGAGGAATGAGCCCTAAGTGGTTGTGTTTGTCACACTAACCCCATGCCCGCGGCTTCTCCCACAGCTCTGAGTCAGCAGGAGTACTGCCCTGTCTCTGGACAAACCGCAAAACCCAGCGCCTGCAGCGTGGCACCAAGGCCATCCAGGCCAGAAGCAGAAACTGGGTTGAAGCCAGATGGCGTGTCTCCTACCTTTCCTCTGACTTTAGGGGTGCATTTCCACTGCAGAAAACATTTGGGCACAGAGAACATTCTCTCAGCATCTTCTGGTCCCTCAAGAGGCCTGGAGGTCTGAGAATAGGGCACATCTGTATTCTATGGGGTGTGGGGCTAATCTAGTCTAATAGTTATCACTTCATACCTTGACGGGGAGGAAGAAAACTTAGGCAACCTAGTAAAGTGGAAATAACCTTTACTCTCCACCCCTCCCCCCACCCCGCACACCCCTGAGAAACTCTAAGGGAAGTTCAGAGTAACTATGAAAGGACACTTTTTAGTAGAATTTCACAGCTGAAATCATGTTCTGGTGGAGCATGGGGATGAATTAAAACGCGCTAGGAGAGACCAGGACCAGAGTTGATGGGAGACAGCTGGCGTCCTCTTGGTCAGGCCAGTGTGGGGGGCCCTCGGGAACCAGCTGGGGGCAGGGAAAGGCGGCAGCTGAAAGCATTACTTGGGGCTGATCAGCTTTTCCATCAACATGACATCATTCGACATGGCATGGACACAAGCTGCTAGAAGGAAAACCTGAAGACGGGAAATGTGCTGCTGGAGAGGCCCTAATCAGAACCGGCCCCTCCCGGCTGTGGGCTGGGCTGGCTTGCATTAGGGCCGGCTGCTGGCGAGCAGCCTGTCTGATGCGGGCCCTCCCATGGGGCTGAGCTGAGCAGGCTGATTGGCTGCTTCTCCGAATCTCCACCTTTCTGGGGGTCCTTTTCTGACACATGGGGGCTGGGTGCTGTTTGAAGCTAACAGGCGATTTCAGAGCTTCAGCAGGGTTTGTACTTTTTGCTGCTCTGCTGAGATTACCAACCCCTGCCCCCACGCCCCCAGGCAGGTTCCCATCCTGCATTTCCTGCTGACTTTTTTTCTACAAGAGAGTTTGATATGGAGGGGACTTCTTTTTGTGTATTACGCGAAATCTCAAAACAAATTTTAAAGCAAGCAGAAACACTAAGTCGACAGTTGGGAAGATGAGACCTTTCCAGAATGATTGAACTTGGTGAATTGGTTAATTTCATCCTTCTATGATTGTATACTTCAATTTTTTTTTTTAAAGATTTATTTATTTGTGCATACAGAACTGGGGTACAGGCCAGAGGCTCAGGGGTGGTGAGAGGCTTCACCAGAGACAGAGTGAGGAACAGAACAGGCAGACTGACAAAGTACACTGCTGAGGGGAGCAGCGGGCAGGTCAGGAGAGGTCTGCTGCGCCATGTGGTCACCTCTGGGGCAGGCGGGGATTGAACTCACGCAGAAGTGGCTTTAGATTCTCAGTGCTGTGCTTTAACCCGCTGCGCCCCCAGGGAGGGCCAAGTAGACTTCAACATTTTAGAAACATCTGATAGGTGGGAGGTTGGCATGCTCCCCCCCCCCCCACCTCCCATGGAGTATAGGGCTGTTGTGGCCTCCTCTCAGGTTCTGGCAACTGTGTCCCCTTCCCTTGGGTTGCAAGAGGGACTGAGTCAATGCTTTTGCAGTGACATGGGGCTTTGGGGGAACCATGGCTGGTGTTTGTGAAATAGCCAGCACAGTGCATGGCACGCACTAGGTGTTAGACTTACCCCTCTTTCCTGACTCCCTCCCTCCACCCCCAATCTTAACTCAGATTCTCCCAGAAGCGGTGCCTGCGTCAAAGGACCAAGTGCACATCATTGATTGGGGACGTGAGCCCAAGAAGCACCAGTAGGAAAGTGGGATGAGACAGGAAGGAAAGGCAGTTGCATAGTCAGGGTTTTCCAGAGAAACATAACCAGCAGCTGTATCTGTGTTGATAGTGCAGCTCATAGATTTTCTGGAAGCAAAATTCCTTCTTTTCAAGGGGACCTTCATCTTTTTCTCTTAGGATGAGGCTCACCCATCCTACTGATTAGGTGAGATTGTGGAGGCTAATTTACTTTTCCTGAGTCTACTGATTTATAGGCTAATATAAAAAAGATATCAGACGGTATCTAAAAAGATACCGTCATGGTGACATCCCTATTGGTGGTTTCCCAGCTACCTGGATAATGTGGCCTAGTCAGGTTGACACATCAACTGAAGCATCACAACAGCCAAATAGAGGTTGTATTATTGAGCAAGTTTTCACTGTGGGCAGCTGAAGCTGAATCCTGCTGGGGAGCCCAGCAAGTCTGTGTAGAACATACCACGCGGTTACCTCACCAGTCATGGGGTTATGGGTTAGCAAGGGCACCTGGGGACACACTGGTTCTCCTGCACATCTGTCCTGCTGTGCACACAGGCACAGACATCAGGGAAAGCTCCCGGGAACAGGGATGCAGGTGCTGGTAGTTGCACACTGGGCTGGACAGCAGAGAAATGCCAGAAGCCAAGAGGATACGGGTGGGGCACTGATACTATCTGCTCTGTCTTCCTGTGTTCATTTCCACCCAGGCTTTCTCTGAGCTCACCACTGGCAAGGTGGCTCAGCCTGCTATTCTAGCCACGACCCCCCCTTCCCTGGGGAAGGGCAGCCCGGTTCTTTCACCTGATGGAAGGCTAGTGCGGGGCTGCAGAGGTGACCTCTCTCAGATGTTGCCGCCGCCATGTTGGTTCATGCGGTCAAGACTTCTGGCTTGTTACACCAGTGGCTATCTCTAGCCCTGATCTTGCTTTGAAACTTACTTCTTATAACTACCCTTTTCTTACAGTTTGCTGTCGCTCCGGGAAATTGTGATTAGTGGGAAGTGGACTGTCTGGAGTTCAGTTCTAGATCTCTGCACTCGTTTGACACTGCTGTCTGCGCAGTAGAAATGTAAATTTTTGTCAGGTTATGTGTTGCAGAAATTAGGGAAGTTCTAGATGCAGCTCAGCCGAGCATGGTTCTCTGACTGGAGGGAGCCTTGTTCCCTTTAGGGAAAAAGATGAGCTTTTTGAGTTTGGTGGTCCCTCAGAGGGGATTGGCGATAAGCTTTGACATTCTACACAGTGGGTGATATGCAGAGGCTCTGTATTTTCCCTGTGAAGTCCTTTGTCACCTTTTTCATATCACATGGGATTATTGAGGTGACACAGCTTGGCCTTGGAAATTCAGCTGTTTGCTGAAATAAATAAGTTGGGGCAGATTCACCCTTGCTGACTGGAATCTGCCAGCTTGGCCTGGCAAGACCCCTGAGATGGCAGAGGCCTCAGAAAACCTTTCAGTGCAGCAAAACATGCGGGCAGCAGCTGCAGGTGCCTGTCCAGGCACACTTCTCTCTCCTTGTGCAGACTCCCCTGGTGGGTGATCCCTTTGATGGTGTTATAAGTAGGGTGATCCCTGCTGCCCAGCTTCACGTACTTAAGTGCCAGCAGGTAGTGAGGTGGCTCCTTACCTGGTGTGCGGAGTTGGGGCAGGGGCTGAGGCCTCCGCTTTCATACTGGATTGAAGTCTCTTCTGGTCCTTTTCTTCCACTTTTACAATGCCAGATTCCCCTGAATCCACAAATATCATTAAAAAATTGAGTCTTATAGGGGCAGTGAAATAAGTCTGTCAACATTAAAATTGTATTTACCTAATAAACACATTGTTACATTTCTATTTATAGTCTCTGAAGTAATGCAGTGAAGTCTTTGAGGTTGATCCAGTGTGTGTTCTATGTTGTGACCACATTTTTTAAGTCCCCGCTTGTAGCACCGTAGCTTCTGGCATGACGCACTGAGTGTTCAGGGGGCTCTCGGGACAGGGGGGTGACAGTCATGGTTTTGTGGAAAGGGTGGGTGCAGTGATCACCGTGCTCACTGCCTGGTAATAAAGTCAACTTCAGCTTTTGAGGTGCCACAAGTTTAAGTGCCATGATGATCCAGGTGCCTCCAGGTGACACAGCTTCGCCTTGGAAACTCAGCAAAACATGTTGCCATTCTTGTTCAGTGATGTATCCCCCTGTGCCACCCGGTGCCTGGCACAGGGTACTCAGGACAGCGGGTGATGTGTGTCCAGTAGATGCAGGCTTTACAGGCATGACCCTGTGAGGTGAGTCCAGCGGCAGGGTGGTGGTGCCCTTGTGCCGGTGCATTCACACAGCATTTTAGGAGACTGTGTTGCATGCAGCGTTGGGTCAGAGCCTTGGTTTTCTGTGTCAGCCTTTCAGGATAAACTGTGTTGGGCATTCTTATTGTTGATGTGAATTTTGGTTGTTCAGTTGATACATCATGAGATGTAAGTCAGGGAGAGCCATAAATGTGACATTCTGAGCATCACCAGGAAGGCAGGGGGTGTCCCGCTTCTCTCCTGGTGCCCAAGGGCTCTGGCTGACCTGTCTTCCTGGGAAGGCGCCATGGTCCTCTGTGAGGGAGGGATGAGATACTGCATAAAGTGCTGTCCTCTGAGGAGAGTGGAGTGACCTTGTGTCTGTGTCTCTGTCCCCACTAACATTTTGACCTTCTCCTTGACAGGCCTGAATTACATTCTGACGGCTGATGTGGCAAAAAAGGAGAAGGGCCAATTGCCCAGGGTCTACTTTATGTTGCTGGGGGAGTCCGTGGGTCAGGTCACAGAGAAGCTGCAGCTGGTTCACATGGAGGAGACATGTCATCACTACCTGGCCCACGTGAAGGTCAGTCTGTGTTCCCTTCTTTATCTTCAGACACATGTCGATCTCTACAGATGTTCATTTAAATCATTTTTATAATGTTATTATCTGTGCTCTTAAGTTCTAAGTTGTTGCTGCGGCACAAGCAGAACATCTATTTCTTCTGGAGTCTGACAGCCCTTTTATTTCTTGTGTTGGTCTCAGCCCTTGAGGGTGGTTAAGCCAGGCTAGGAGCTCTCTGGTTTGGCCTGGGTGGTTCCCACCCTTTCCCCTCTCTGAGGTGAGGCCCACTGGTCTCAGGAGTCATAGAAGCACATGTTTCAAGGTCTCTGACGATGCTGGATCACATTGCACCTGATGCCATTCTCACTGGTCCAGGACACATTAGCTCATAGTCATAGGTAAGGCATTTTAAAACTGGATGGATTAAGTTTTTCTCCCTTGATTACTCTTTTTCTTTCAGGAGTGCATTTTTGGCCCTTTTCCTCCCTCTCTCTAAATAAGCTTTCAAATGTTTTTTCCTCTTGAAAGAGTTTGTTAAATATACTTTGCTGCTGGTTCAGGAGGCGAGGCCTTGACTAGCTCCACAGTGGCCTCTGCATAGCAGGAGCTAGCAGGGTGGGAATCCTGGTAGTGGCCAGGACTGGCCAGCCATTGACCTGCAGGTGGAAAGCATAGGAGGTGTAACCTGGCCACACGGTGAGTGGAATGAATAAAGTTTGGAGTCAGACCTGGTATATGTCCAGTGGGATGAGCACTTTGATCTCTCGGCACTTCAGTTTCTGCGTCTCTGAAACGGACACGCTAATACTTAACCTTAACCTTGAAAGATGATCTTAATAATTAAGCATTACGTGATGAATGGACTCAAGGACCTTGCATGGTGTCTGACATGTGCACACACTCATTATTATTATTATTATTATTATTTGATTGTGCCAAGTTTTATTTCCAGTATTCTAACATTTCTGACCTACAAATATCAGTCTCAGGGGACTCAATGTAGTATTATTAGCCTATGAATTTCTGCATGATAGCAAAAATAGTGAACAAATTGGAGATGAAGTATCATTCTATTATTATATTAGTGCTGTAGCAGGAAAGTAACAGCTGCTTCTAGATGCTTCTGGGTTGTGTATGGAGAAAGACCCCACACATCCATGGCACTTGGTCTGGCTGAGGGCCTATGCGCTTGTGCCCCTGAGATGCTTCTCAGTGGGGATGGACAGGGTCCTATGCCAGGACTCGTGCTGGGGCCTGCCCAGAGCAGCTGCTCTAAAGGCTGGGGTGAAGGCAATTTATAAAGCAGTTGATACTCCTGTTAAGCCAGCCAGCCACCCGTCCCTCTAGGTCTTAGATTACATTGGCTCATGATGCCCTTGGGGCGGGTGGCCAGGCTCTCTTCAAACACTGCAAGGCTCTCGAGTGCCTGTGCTTGGTGTCTGCATGCTCCCTGGAGCCAGACCACCCAGGCCACCTGCCCTGGCTTCCTCATACTGGGTCTCTTCTGTAGGTGCTTTCCTGCAGGAACTCTAACTTATGCCTCTATGTGTGTAGCTACTACGGGCCCTGGCTTCGGGACTGAACCACTCAGAGTGTGCAGGCCTTGGCAGTGTGCCTCGGGGAACAGCGACAATGAGGTACAGGCTAGAGGTACAGGCTAGAGGCAGGCTTTTTTCTGTGGCAGCTTCTGAGGGTTAACTGCCCGGAGCTGTCTCTCCTGCTACTTTGACATCCAGAGTTGCCAGATTTAGCAAATAAACATACATAATTTCTAGTTAAATCTGCACTTCAGATTAACAGCAAATAATTTTTTTAACTGAACAAAGTAGGATAGTTTATTTTATTTTTTTCCTACAGTTTATTTTTACATCATTTTGTACATTTTTTCCCCCCATCACCAAGTCACCCGTGTGCCATCACCATAATCCCGTGCACTTCCCTCCCCAACCCCCTGTTTTTGATCCCATTCCCCACTCTACCCCCGCAAAATGTCTCTGGTATATGGTTGTTCATTATTTTTGTTATTTTCTCGCCTGGTCCATTATACTCCTGCTATGAGTGAAACCATCCAGTATTTTTCTGGCTTATTTCACTAAGCATGATCTCCATCCAAGTTGCTGCAAAAAACATGTGTTTCTCTTTTTTGGTTGCTGAGTAATATTCCATTGTATATATGTACCACATCTTTTTAATCCAGTCATCTACTTTTGGGCATTTGGGCTGCTTCCATGTTTTTCCAATTAACAGCAAATAATTTAAGACTATCTCTGAGTACATAGAATATACTTACACTAAAAATTACTGTTGACCTTTCACTTAAATGTTACTGGGGATCCTGTTGGAAGATCCATCTTCTCTAGTTCCTCCCATTCCACAAATGGCACCTCATTTAGACAACACATGACTGACAAGTAGAGAGATTGAGAATGTGGTCAGAGAACCTGGAGGCTGAGGCTGAAGTTCAGGAGAGAGTAAACAGACATATAAGTGATTATTTTGTTCATTTTGCAGAAGAATTAGAGTACAGATCTTCAGTGAACTTGGACCTGTAGAAATTTGGATGTTGTTATTGCCTGGCATGTTTCTCATGCCAGGGGATGGGGGGAAAGGTGCATGCCTCTGAGACTCTGTGGGTCAGGAGGCCAGGTCTCTTTAATTTAGGGAAGTCTCTTCTACCGATTACTGCCAGGACCATGGCAGAGGGCTGGGTGTGGGGCAGGACAAGGTGAATGCTAGTGAGTTGACTCTCCTCTGTGGGGGTGATCCAGCTGGCCCAGGAGACAGCCTGGCCTGAGTTTCTCTGGCTGTGGGAAAGCAGCTGTGGAAGCAGTGACTCTTGGGGGTGGGGGGTTTGAGGCAGGCAGCTAGGATGGGGGAGGGGTATGGTAGCTGGGCCTCCTCAGTGGAATTGGGGACAGGATGCTGGGGTGCCGTCAGGACTAGGAGAGCTTCATGCAGCCGCTGCTGCAAGTGAAACCTCTTCATAGAGCTGACTCTTGGCTTTATAGACAAGTGAAGGAAGATAAATAAAAGCGTTCTGGCTTATCGCACACCATATGGCCAGCAGAGAGGCCAGCGTGAGGGGCTGGGTATGTTTTGTTTAGGCTATCTTTAGGTATTTTTTTTTTAAAGCCTTTTCTGACTTTTTTTCTTCCTCTTATTCCATGGAAGTTTTTATTCCATACATGGTGATCTCAGAGTATCTCTGTTGTGGAAGACTGCTGCTCCCAGGCAAGCTGTCTTGGCCCACACTTGGTTCCATTCATGGCCCTGATGGCGCCTCCAGGAAGCACAGGTTGTCATCAGCCTCAGAGTCTACATGCCCAAGTTTCTCTCCCCACCACCCTCAAGCCAGTCAAGTTTGCTGCGGCTGGGTCTCCTTCTGCTAGTAAAGTGGGCTGGAGGGTTCTTGCAGTTCTCAGTGTCGCAGGTGAAAATGCACACACCTTCCTTGAGCCTCCAAACTCTCCCCCATATGACCTCAATTTGACTTTTGTCTACCTGGCACATGACTGGTGGCAAGTTGGGACCCCAGATTTGAGGGAAGCACACTTTACAGGGATCCAGGCATCCATACACACAAAGGCAAAGGAAGCAGACATTTAGAGTGAGATCTTTAATAGAATTAATGTCCTTAAAGAGGGAAGAGAGGCTGATCCTAATAATAGTTTTCCAATAAAATGCCCCAAATTACCTTATTTTACCTTGTGAAAATGTCCAGCCAAACAGGCTTGGTCCAAAGCAGGGCAGTCAAGGCTCAAAAGATTGTCACAAGTCTAAGATGCCTTCTGGTGGAAAGTAGTAGCAAGAAAGAGTTTAGCAGGTCTTAGAGAGCTGGGACAAAAGGAGACACCAGGTAATGGCTGCCATTTATCTCTTGCCTATGTGTATCTCTCAAGTGTCTGTGTCTCTCTCTCACATCCCTTCCCCAGCGTCTCAGGGTGCAGGTCGGGCAGTAGGAAACAAGGTCCCTAGCCTGCCTGCCTTCTGAGTTACATAGCTTCCTCTGACAACTCAGCTCTAACCCTAGACCCCAATAGATGCCCCACTCAGGAAGTCTGGGTCAAGGCCCACTGGGACGGGTAGTCCAAGATGGCACCATCAAGTGAGAGTGGGGAAAATGGCACCTCCCTTGCAGAGGTGCTTCTGTCACGCGTTCTAGTCTCACCTTTCTCATCACATGTGCCCTGAACTCTTCCCCAGGGGAGCAACCCCCTTTCTCCTGGAATATTCCTGGGCCCCGCCCTATTGTCGTTCTCCTGCTCACATTGGCATCTCTAGCCCTTCTCCATGATGGCCAGTTTCGGTCCTATCCATGTACAGTCACATACCATCTGTGTGCTTTTTGCCTTTTTTTTTTGGGGGGGGTCTCAGTTTGGGTCTCTGGAAGTCTTTCAGAGTCACTTTTTGGGAGGTGCTTGGCCTGCCCGCATAAGCGTGAGTGGAGTGTCCCTTCCTATGGCAGTCAGCTTCTCTTCCCTGCTCCAGACCTGACGGAGGGCTTGTTAAAGCCCCTAAAGAGGGCAGATGGAAGGGCCCTGAGGTGGCCATGGACCTGTGTTCTGAAGAGGACAAACCTCTCAGCCATCAAGTGCCCAGGAAAATCTGGGGAGGATTGTCTCCACTCCTGCCATTGGCTGTGTGCCTTTGGCAGGCTCTTTCTCTCTTGGGTGCACAGTGACCTGGATGTTTGCTAAAGGGTTCTGGTCATGCTAAGGAGTAGGAGATGCATTTGGGAGACCATGCTGGTAGTAAACACTCTGAATGTGGCCTGCTTTGACCAACCTTCCTTTTCAAATTTAGAACTTACATACTCATCATTAGAGTAATTCCCTTCAGAAATCATCTTTTAGTAGTTCCTATTTTGCAGTTTCCTCCTGTACTTATTCACTCTTAACATTGGAGATATAATTGACGTCTAACAATTAGTTTCAGGTGTATTGCATAATGAATTGATATGTTTGCGTTACAAAATGATCACCACAATAAGTATTTGACATCTATTATCGCACATAATTACA